TTTTGTTCGTTCGTTTGTATTTTTGCCTGCCTGTATAATATGTTATTCATGCATACTATCAGCAACGTAAACAACTGTCCCTCAGTGTATCGTTTATTCGCGCAACATAACTTCTAAAATCCGAAGAAATAATGTTATCTGATAAGAATAGCTTTTCTGACTTGTTGTCATTTGTAATTACATGATTAGTCATCCGTGAAATTATCACATTGTGTAATGTAATGGTTCATGGGGGAAGGTGTATAGTACTAGTATGTGCAAACACATTATTATAAGTAACGTGTCTGAGAAATCGGACTGTTTTGAAATATTCGATTTTTGGTCATGTTGATAATGGCATGTTCCGCTGATTCAGATATGTACTTGTTTTCGGTTGTTTGTTCGTATTTTCAATTATAAAACCGACCATGAATCAAAAGAACCTCCCGAATACCTGATCTGTTCTCCGATCACTAATACCGCGTGTAACATTTAAATTAGCATACATGCAACGTAACCCGGTTAGTGAACTTTACACTTAATTAATATGAGCTTACTTTAAAACAGCAAATTATGAAACATAATAGTCATTTAATACTAAAATGCACTTTGTTATGTCGAGTGCGATTATATTGTAAGTTGTTGTGCCGTCAGTCATCGATCCTAGTGAGTGTGCTTCACTTCTAAATATAGAAAGGTTTTGATTCGTCGTTTCAATATAGTCGTATGTACGACGTGATTTCACTGGATTTCGGCGTAATAACGTGTTTATCATAGTAGCATAGTTTACACTGAATAAATTGCTAACGAACTAGGGTCGTATCTAATTCTAAAGGCAAATCGAAGTTGGAGGCACATTTTCGAACATATAAACATGAAAGACAAAATTAGAACTCGCAATCCAGCTAATGTAAACAGACGCGAACCACCATACAATGACGAGATGGACATGTGCAATTCGAATCTGACGTCACATCCTGCATAATATAATTCTGTACACAAATGGACCAACATTCCATACTACTAATTACGTAACCAGGAATTCCGTCGTATTGTTTACGATTGATTACAACCTTTAGTTAATATATCTAACGCTGAAATTAGAAATTTTGAAAGTTGAATATACCTGCGGGTTGAACGGGTATATTACTGATTAAATTTTATCTGGGTGCCATGAATCAAATCAATAACGCCGAATACATGCATTTGGTGTTTATATTCAGTACATCGAACAAACTTGCAATAACAACATAGGTGTGTATAATATTAGCATAGGGAACACATTATCCTAGTTTTGTGTTGGACACATTTCCATTGCCACAGTATAATGCAACTAGGGAATACAAGTTAATCATGCCTAAGAAGGTGTTCAATCAGTCCTCGTGACAGGCAATTAACAACATTTTTGAACTGCCAGATAAGTATTTAATAATGGTGGTAGACAAATGGTAATGAGGTTAAAGGGCGAGGTTTACATAATTAACTCTAACAGCCTTTAACTTCTATCGACACGTCGTGTATTACATTGTACTATTGACCAATAACATTAATACCATTAAAATTACATGTAGACAATGAGAAATAACCACGTGGTCAAAAACTAACATAAATTTAAAACAAAAATAAACATGTGCAAAATATGGCAATATTTTGACGGTTAAAATGAAGGCGTTGAAGACGCAGTATTTAAACAAAACTAAGTCGAACTGTTTGAATTGAATCCTGTAATAAGATAATTTACATAATAATTGTCCACCCCTATTGGTATGTCATTATTACTTCTCGTATAACACACAAAATAATAAATATAAATTCCATGATTCTTGAGCAATTTTTTTATGCTTGTGACAATTACCTATTAACCCTTTGTTCCGTTCAGCACCATCACACTAATAATGAAATAATCATTGCCTACGAATCATTTATAAGCTAATACAATTAATCGCGAGCCTATTTATATTGGACTCTGAGTGCGATTGCGTCAATTGTCATACATGTTATACCTAATATATTATTACATATGTACTGCAGTTTATTTTGATTCGTCCATGAAATCAAAATCGGTATTTCCACAACCCATATGCAAATGAGGTCTGAGAGCAAACAAAGTAGTCCCTTCAGGAGTACAGTTTTTCGAAATAAACAATATTTAGAAGTATGATATTTTCCCCTTGGGGTACATGAATATACTTGCCGAGTGAAATGAAATTTGAACAACAGTAATGGTACTTTTAGGCAGTCACTTATTTTGGCCCAAACTAATTTGCATATCACCCATGCAATAATGTTTTCGGTATTTTCACGGTCGATATGCAAATGAACATGGTATTTTCATTGGCTACCGAACTATTTTTATTTTGTAAACACATTTTCGTCTGCTATTTTTATCCAGTTCAAATCGTTCAACAACATTTTTGGCATGTCAGTGTACATCACATGGAATACTA